CCTGGTTGCCGAGTTCACGAAGTGAAATGGCTTGTTTTACAATGTCGTTGCCAAGCGACGAAAACCCAACGCCGATGGCAAACACCGAGGGGGGGGGACAAGAAAGGTGGGAAAGGGGAAATAATCCGGGCAACGTCCCCCAAAAAACAAAATAAAACACCATGGCACGGAGAAAGTTCGTCCACGCCCAAGCGGTAAAGAACCTCACGCTGCTTGTGACTTCATTCTGCTACTGTTCCGTGTACCGATCATGTTAAACTATTTCTCATATACATGTCCGTCAGTCGCGCTGGTTTCGCGAAGTGTGCTTCGTTGAACAACACCTTTGCCTTGAACGTTATACGCCGCCTCGCTTAACCCACACGACTCCGCGCACTCTTCTGGCGGTCCAAAATGCGACGAAANATATATATTTTTGACTTTTCTCGCAATGGCGGCACCACTGATTTTTTTGCATTTCGACCTCGCAAGGACGTAGGTGTCGTTTTCACTTTTCTGTGGGCGCCCTTGTCCCTACATACATAGTTCTAATCGAACATCGTGCGAGAAACAACGACTGTTTCAGGACCCCGACATGGAAAAACACGAAAACGCTGTCATTCCGGGTGGAGGGCGCCGCCATACCGACATTGCGGAATTTTGAACCTCACATCACGGAGAGGCCTCGGTTGGTTAGCTTAATACTCACGTAATTAAACGGCCCAAGTGCCTGGAGCAGGCTTGTCGCTAGCGCCGAGCATGTCTCCCTCGACTCCGCCTGCATCCTTAGCGCCAGCGCCTCAGAATCTTCTCGAAGGACGCCGTCCACTCCTATTTCGTCCATCTTGTCCAGCCCGAGCTCCCCATCGGTCGCCGGTCCGCGTGGTGCACCAGCGGCCAGCAGGGGCCCCGGCAGTGGGGAGGCGCACCCCACCCCTGGCATCGCTGGCAGGCACTTGATTTTCTTTGTCATTCCCTGGCCGCCCTCGCCAGATGGGGCAGAAGGAGGAGGAGCCTTCCCCCAAACGGAGGTCTTAGAGCGATGTCCAGCGTGCTTGGCGCCTCTCAACGTTGTGATGCTGGCGGGCTCATCCTGCACGGCATCGCAGCTGCTCGAAATGTTGCTGTCTTCCGCGGCGTCGATGAGCTGATCCAGCCCGACCCGAAGGAGGCGCCGACAGATCTTTTCGTTCCCGGTGGCAGCGATTACAAGCGTCGCTAGAACCCCTTCCGCGACACCCCACTCACCCGCCGAGCGGGAGGAGTGGCACAGCTAAGTTTTCAACCACGAAGACGATTAAACGTTTTTCGAGGCAGAGGCGGGCAGGCCCTCGAGCGTTAGCAAACGAGCGGCGTTGGTGTGGAGCTCAGTATCGCATAGGGAAAAAATAACAACCCGCTACCAATAACGTTGGCCGTAGTTTGAGAAATGCAGCAACGTCAGCAACTCCTGCGGTGTAATGCGAACCGACCCTGCTGATGGGTCAGCAATGTCTTTGGGAGCCACGAACGCGGAGATGGACAGCACAAGGTCCTGACCAAAGGGGCCCCCAAAACACTATGACCTGTGAAACGAACGCCTCTCACCTGGACAAGCGCCTCCAGTCCGCCGGCCCGAACGAACCGATTCTTGTTGGCGTCGTTGCCGTGCAAGCAACTTCTCAGGCCCCACAGCACGGGTACCAGCAGCGGTGCTTCGGTGCTGTGGTCGCACATCCCCAGGAGCACCGCCAATCCGCCGCTTTCGCCCAGGCTTCGCTGCTTGCTGGGGTTTTGCGATACCTGATGCAACCAGAGAAAACGCCGCAAAAACAAATGTTGGGCTTCATTGACCCACACAGAGGAGACTTCACACACGTGCGGTGTGGAATCATTGAAGTGGCAGGGGTCGGTAGCATACGTATGGGGTGGATTTTCCAATGGCGAGGAAGATATATTGCAAAACCGATGTCTTCCGGTCTCCTGGCACGTAATTTGATGACATGGAGACGTCGGACAAGCCGGCGAACACTACATGTAGTTCCACTTGCACAAATACAGTGTAGTGTTCCCGACTCGTTTCGAGAAAAACCGACAGGGACAACGTGCACGATGCCTGGTAGCATTTTTTGGCGATGACATGACAACGAACTACGTAGAGTAGTTCACGAAACACTTGCGGCCTCTGATCCGTTCCTTACTTCCTGGGCAATTTGTTCGGCGGCCGCCTTTTGCGCCGTGAGGTTCCCCTTGGTCTGAACGATTCCGAGGAGGTGTGGCAGATCTAGCTGCTGCTTTTTGTCGCTGTCTTCGTCGTCGGCTTCCGTGCACGCAAGTGCCGCCAGTATCTTCGCCGCCAGCTCTCGTTCCTGGCGGAAGGAAAGTTTTAATTGGACAGTTTGGATTCATTTGTATCGATTGCAGAGCGGGACGCGCGGAGTACAGCCGTATTCGTTGTGGTGTTTGCGGCGTCGTGGTTTCCCAACTTGTGTCCCCAGAAACACATGCAACGTACCAATCGTAGAAACCAAGAGCGTTTCTGTTCCCTGGTTGTGAACACCAACCGCCATTGCCATCAGAAGACTGCTTTCTTCGATCCAAACGGCAACTGTTCAAGAATATCCTCGCCCGACAGCAAGGGCCAAACTGCACTTTACCTTTTGGTACAAGTACGAGGAGGTATCGATGACAGGATCGTTATTGAAGGTGTGACCATACTCCTTGCTTGCATCCGTTTTCGTGCAGCTAAATAGTGAACTTAGGTGACGTGATGCGCCCCACAGGTTGCCCCGGGAACACAACACTTTCATCTCGGGTTGCATTTATTTCACTGTGAGCAGATGTTCTATAGCCGCAAACCGTTTAATGCTCGATAGGTTCTCCAACGGCTACATTACGTTGGTTCACAGAAGGGTAACCCACTCAAGAACGGGACTCTGGGGGTACTGTGTAGAGAAAACAGAACACTTCAGTGCTCTCCAAAACTTCAACACAATCTGGTGTCGCATTCCGGGTCGATTCACACGAACATCGTCAGCGGTAGGCTGGTCTGCTAACTTTATCGCACCTCCGGGATATCCGAGCCGAGCAGAGCCACCGCCGCCTCTACCCCCCCTGCTTCCGCCACGCGTGACTTGTAGAGGTCGTGGACGCAGACGTTCAGGAGCGCTAGTGCGGCCGGGTGGCGCACGGCGGTGGGAACGGAAGGCTCCAGGCTCGACACAAAGAGAGCGATACATCCGGCGTCGACCAACGGCGCCACGATGCGATCGACGTACGTGAGAGACACCAAACAACGAAGTGCGGCCTCCTGGACTGGGGACGGGTGGTCGTGATCGCAATACCTGCATGGATCGACGGGGTGGCACGGCATGAATGATCGACGATGTTTCAGCTCAAGCATCTTGACTGAACGGAAGCGCTCAGCGATGTGTGTTTGGGAACGTATTCTGACTTCGAGCGGGCGAGAGGGAGGAAGGGGGCACAGAAGTGGTCATACATCGACAAGGACGACTTTCAATCTCTCCAAATTTAGGTTAATATTTCATCTTTCCGTTTGACAACTACAACCTGACGTGTTTACCGCACCAAACAGTCCGCAACGGTCGACTTCTTTCCTATCTCAAGCAAGATGAACACAAACACGGGTGAGGCTTTACGAATATCATTCTCTCGTCAAATCAATGGCAACGACATTCCAGAAATAGTTTTGCCAGTTCAATGCCCCCCTATGCCTAGGCAGCGCCAATGACAGCGTGGATAGTGTTTAGGATCCAGCTTCCCTCCATTCTCACCCAAGCAGCGTCAATAGCGCCTCGTCGATCGCCTCCAATCGACGTCGATTGGCCTCGTGGAAGAACAGAGAATTTCCGAGACAGATGAGCGCGTTTGTTCGAATGGGAAGCCACGAGGACGACGCAAGAGCCAACAGCTGCGATATGTAGCGGCCGATGCGTTCCTGCGGCGGAAAGGTCAGGTCTCGGGGTGAGTATGAGTACTATGGGAGGAGACGATTTTCCTCATGGTGCGGCTCGATGGGATTCCAGGCAGAAACGAGGTGTTATTCCGCGTGCGGAGATGAAGAGCTCAGGTGATATGCGGCTACTTCTTTCGTCGCGTGTGTGCCGCAAAAGATCAACCGGTATTTTACAACGATTGCAAGCTTTCAACAAAAGGGGATATCCGACAATAATTTTTTTAAGCTGCATCGACAGTCCTCTGACGCTCGTGCCGACATGCTACCGAACCACAGCGCTAGCTGTTTGGTATCGTTTGGATCCTGTCTTGCAAGTCGAGTAGCAAGTATGTTTGTATCTCATGTGGCAGGATATTCACTGGTGGGCTCAGATCATGTCGTCGAAACTGCTAGGCAGCCTCTCGATGGTGGCAGGCAAAAATTGTCGGCGTCAAATATTTAACTCTACCTGATTGTAAGGGTCCCATGCCAGGTTTCCAAGAGCCCAGAGGGCATTCGCGAGGACTACGTCGTCATTGGTGTCGCACAGGGCAAAAAGGGCCTCTGCCGCACCCTCTTCGCCCGCTTTTGCACGGTGAACGTCTGTCTGGCACACGTTTCCGATCACCAGGGCGGCATGTCGTTGCACCTTTTTTGGTCCACGAGATCGAGTGCGGGTGATCCGACAACGCAGAGGGGAGAATAAGACAGAAGGCGGACGGCGCTGCGTGTTGTCCAACATCATGGACATTTTTTAATCGACACCCCGAGATGGGGCCGCATGACTGCTGTGACTGTATCTCACGGTGCATGAACAAGATCAATCGGGTGTGCGAAGAGTAGGCTATACAACGAAGACAAGTGTGGTGACACCTGACGCGGTCGACACAATTGGCGTTTCGAATCTCCCACTCCCCCGCTACAGTTGAGGGCGTCCTGCTTTCAACATGGTATCTACCAACCCTAACGAACATTCTGTGTTGTGGCAGTACCAGCGAACTCCACCGAGGAATAGTCACGGGTTCCGGTTCGAGATGCTGCAAGAAGTTGCGGGCTCCGTGTCTACAAGAGAGATCAACTGTCCAGAGAACCAACGCCCTCATACCTGCAAGTTGTGAGATCCACACATGAGAACCAAAGGACTGATGCCTAAAGAGTGTATCCTCACGGTGACCTCATCCCCGTGGTTGCGGGTGGCGTTGACCAGGGCTTCGGCTGCGTTAGCCTGGATTTCCTCCGCCTGGGAGGGGGTGACGAGCACGACATAGTACGAAACTGAAGAAATGTCGTGCGCTTCCAGACTTCTTGAGTGCGGCGAAACACCCATTTGCCACTACAGTATACTCCCGTTTCCCCTGGTGATGGGGAACATGTCATCGAGTATTCCCATCCACTAATCTGGACGCTTCCGTTGACAAGGCGATGGTGGTGTCTGAAAAATGGTATATGTCCGCGGTTGTGATACCGATGCTAGCGCATGACCGATTGACACGAACAATATATGTTATCCCCGACTGATCCGGTCGCAACGTGGGGTCAGGAGCAATGGAGGCCCAGGAACCTTTGCAACAGCATTTTCGAATACTCTCGAACTTCATAGTTTAAACGAGGGGCACGAACGCATCTGTAATGCACTGCACATTCGCAATGGCATTTCGGAAACCTTCCGACTTGAATGCCAAAGCGGGGCATGACCGCATCTGTAGTTGCCGCTGCACGCACACACACATGCATGCATGCATTCACGAAACGGACACACTCATACCTGGTCAAAGTCAAGAAGGTTGTACGGTTTGTACGACGACACCAGCCCCACCAGAACGCCTATCCCACCGGCGGCTACAAGCCTCACGGCGTTGGCCTCGCTGTAGCAGAGCAGGTTAGCAAGGGCCGCGGTCGCCGCTTGCACCGCGTCGACGTCCATCGTCGCTGCCGCTCCGCCCTCTTCACCCCCCTCGTCCTCGACGCCACCGTCCTCTTCGCCCTGCCGGCGTGCCACAATCAAACCCTTGTTTTCCTCACAACCTACTTTAGTCGCGCGCTCCGCACCAACGTCGCGAGTCTCCGCCTTCTCAGCGTTCGCTTCATCCGTCGATGACATGTGTTCTCCCTGTTCTCGACACTCTGCTGTAGCTCTCTGGTCTCTGTTGTTCGACGCTTCCCCCTCCTTCTTGGTCCTACCCACCCGCTGGACCTGGCCGCGAACGCCCCCGGCCTCGTCTTCTCCAGATTCAGAGCGTCCTCGTCCATTAGTAGTTCTACTGCTTGGTGTAGATCTCCCTCCTCTACGTCTTCCTCGATTACCGCCCCCTCCCTCCGCCGTATCGTCAACTCCATCCTTGTCAATGCCAGAAGCAACGAGCGGCGTACTATCACCACTCGTCCCGTCACGATGACCAGCATCGCCCGTATCCACGCCAGCCCTCCCGCGACAGACGTCGAGCAGCGCTTCCACGGCCCCAGCCTCCCCCGCCTCCGACTGGTACGACGGAGACCCGAACGCCAGGTTGGCGAGGGCGGTGGCGGCGTGCGTCTGCACCTCGGGGTCCGGGTGGGGCAGCAAGCTCGCCAGGACCGGGATGAGGTCCGGCGCCGCCTTGCCCATGCGGTCGGCGTTGTCCTCGTGGTATGCCGCCACGCTGAGGGCCGAAGCGGCGGCCCGAACGACCTCCCAGTCGTCTCTCTCTCTGCATAGGCGAGTCTTTGTTGAAAGATGGGTGATCCGGTCCGGGAGAGAGGATTTACATCCAGATGGCAATTGAGGGCGAGGGGAGAAGGAAGAGGGAAGCGGGACGAGGGAAGATGGGGGTGGAACGGGAACTTGGGGGCCAAGGCTGTTTGTATTGATGAACTTCCTCATGGTCACGGGTATTTCGTGTTGGGTCCATCTGATTTTGCTGGAGCCGCAGCAAGAGGCGAAACGACTGGAAAAAAATACGAGTTCCTCCAGTAAGCCTTACGTAGACTGATCGGGACGACATTACGTTGGCTCACTCTCCTACGTTTGAAAGGCCTACTGAACTCACCAGCAATGCCACAACGCCTCCTCCTCCCTGGCCGCTGCCTTCAACCACAATGTCGTCTCCTCCTCCTCCTCCTCCTCCTCCTCCTCCTCCTCCCTGGGCGCCTCTCCTTCCGGTACCCGCAACCTTCACCACTGTGTCCACCCGCACCTCGGGGACACCGGTTCCAGCCGGCGACCACCCGCCGAGTTCGAGTTGATTGGCCTCGTTTGGCCCTTCTTGCCTCCTAGCCCGTCTGAGGGCCCACTGGCGGCGCTCACGTACAACGGCTCGTGCGCTCATTGCCGCTCTCGGCCTGAATTCTTCTTCCTCTTCCTCCACTCGTTTTCCTTCATTTTCTTCAGCGTTACCGTGTTCCTGGTTGTCGTCCTCTCCTACGGCACCAAGGCGGCCAGCTTCCGGCGTCGCCGTCGCCTCGGTGACAAGTTGACGACCCTGTCCATCTACTGATGACGACGCCCTCTGTCCAGACTCGTCGACAGTAGAATTGTTGACAAGGTCGTCCTCGATTGAACGCGGGAGAGATTTTGTGGTTGCCTTTTCCGGCCCCCTCTGCTTGGAAAGGAGCGGTGGGCTTTTGGGGCTTGTGTTGGCCTGTTCTTGCCAGGCGGAAGCAGGAGATGGAGAAGGGGGCGCTGACATCTGGTCGGCATGCCTGAACTCCTCGGGCCCGTCGAAGGTCCGCCCCCTCTTCAGCAGCCGTGCCTCCTCGGCCGGGCAGCATGATTGCACCCAGAGGTCCCAGTGGCGGTAAATGTCCCACGCCAAAACACGCGCCTGGTGTTAATCGAAGTTCACGAGAGTTGTGTTGAGAATTCAACATTTGTTCCAGTTTACATAGCTTGGTGCATTCGTTTGACAAAACGTGAACCCCGTCTGTTTGCGCAAGAAACGAAGCTGAGAACGTAGCTATTGAGAGTTCATCGTTAGCAACAGCAGACGAGCGCAGTTTCTTCATCGTCCGAGGTGATCAAGTGTTCGATGCTGGGTCGGGACGAGGGTCGAGGAGGGCACATACGCTTAGGTTGGAGAAGCGTTTCACAGACATCCCAATGGGTCTTCCATGGCGTGGGAGTGTGCACACGTCTCTGTATTTCCGGGAGGTGTTGGAAGTTAAACCCTTCCCGAGGGTATTCGACATGAAATTATGAAATCGCCAGAACCCATCGTCGCCATTGCCTGAGAGCGCAACCAGTGTTGCAGGACAGCTAAAGACAAGGCATTAGGCTTGATCCCCCTGCACAAAGTCTAGCAGTGCACCTCGACACTCTGAGTACATCTGGTGAATTTTGAAGACGATCACGTACGGCTGAGGGCGGCGCGAAGCACAGAACCGTCTTGTGTTACCTCGGTGTGGCCGTTCCAACCAAGGGCTCCCAATGCTCTTGCGGCGAGCCGTCGAAGATCCTTGCGAGGACCGCGGCAGACGGCAGCAAGCACCTCTACAGCACCTGTTAGTTCGGGGCAGGCCACGGGTGCACGTGTTCATGCGTTTCGTGATGACAGTATGGCGTTTACCCATGCCTTCCACGGGTGGTTCAGTTCGCAGTGGGCAGTGCCATGCATACGCGAGTGCGGTTGTTGTCAGTAGGCAACGTGATGGCCCTTCGGCGTCAACATCGGAAACGTGCATTGGTCTCTTCGGAAAAGCACCTCCGAGAGAAGTACTTTTTTAGTAGCTGGTCGCGACAAGTACGGCGGTGGATATCGCCGAGGCACAATGGCTGAGACCGCTTATGCCAACACTAATAGGCAAACTATTTGGTTGGTTGGAATGAACTTAGCACGCGAGCGAAGAAGTAGTGTACATGCATTGCTCATCGCGTGCTTTGAAAGCATCGTCAGAGGTTTAAAACAGCTGACCCGCCTCTCTGCGATGATTACCAATGACAAAAAGCAACTATTGCGTAGAATTAGGTAGACCTTAAACTTGATGGGGCAGGCTTTTAGCATAGAGGCGGCTTACTATCGTAGCCAATGAACAACTATGAAGAATATGAATCTCTTTTCGAGAGGTCACAAATTGAGACTAACTACCGCAAGCACTCACCGTTAGCGCGTAAGGCGTCGTTGTGGGTCCGTCGAGACCCAGCCAGGTTGGCGAGCCGCTGCGCGAAGAAGAGGAACAGGGTGTCCACGCTCGTGCATAGGAGACGGATGGCCGTGCGATGTCGCCACACCTTGTGTCTCTCCTCCCGCTTTTGTCGCTCGTGTTCAATCCTTTCCAGCGCCTGGAGCCGCTTCATTTCTTCTTGGGTTTTGATGTGGAAGCGAATCTGTGTTGTACGCATGTCAGTTATCGAAAGGCATGGAATCGCGGAGCACGAAAGCCACGAGTTTTCGTTATATCGTGTTGGGCCAAGGACGGGGAAGGGCTCATGGGCTCGGCACCATTGGTGTTCGTCTTTCTGAACGATGGCTCTCATCGCGCACGCTGCGGGGCTGGTTCTGTGGGATGGATAATGTCTGTACCATCACCACACAGCAAATCTGAAACACGGAAACACGCATGATGCCAAGAGGTTCCGTGTACGGAAAAGTTACACCATTAGACTAGTTAGCCGCTGACTAATCTAAAGGTGTAACTTTATCGAATAAAAGATATGCTCAGAGCGGCAAGGGGCCCTTTACTACAGTAGCGTTGGTGTACTTTTCTGCTTAAGTCCTTCGTTCATTATTCCATAAATGGTAAGGTGCTCGCACGCCCGATAACTCCCATGCCAATGAACGAAGAAGTGCCTGAGAGATCTTCGTAAGCGGTTTTCCAGATGGCCGCCTGGTTTCGAGCGGAGGCTGTGCGTTTTCTGCCAGACGCAATGAGGCACACCGGCGACTTAACAGTATCAAAACTAGAGCATAGCACCGAAATCGAAAATCTTTTCGTTCACTTTGCTGACCTCATCGCGCAATGCTGCGATCCAAAGCTCCAGCCGCAGCGAATGCATCCTCTCTGCCCGCAGCTCCGTTCGTAGTTTCTCGGAAAGCACCTACAACCACCAGCAACAATGCAAGCATTGTCACAACAACAGAAACGCGCTCTTCGGTACACGAAGGAACTCAAACAGGCAGGCATACACGAAACAGAATCTTAAAGGGTGTTTTCTGTGTTTGAATACGAGGCGACTAAATCCTTGGGCACCGAAGCTTCGCCAGTGCATCGCGGCCGGTGGTACCTGTCCGCATGGTCATACCAACCGCAGGTCGCATTCCTGACGATGTGCAAAGTCAAGAAGATTGGGCGTGTGGTATTCTGAGCAGACGGCCAAGTTCTGTGAATATTCACGGTGATATTGCAGTAAGAGAGTTGTATTCAGGGCTATTTCGAGCATCCACACCCTCGCACGGTCCGTCACGATCGCAAGACGGTCTTCTGCGGCCTCCCTCTTAGCTCGTTCCTGAGCAAGGTCGTGCCTCAGAGCCTTCACCCACGCCTCCGTGTTGGAACGCCCGCGGTTCAGTTGGTCGATACGAGCGGTCAGCTCAGCACGAACCTTTTTGAACGTTGGCGTAATCAGCAGAGAAGTTGTGGAAATGCGGGGCATGCGCACATCGGTATTGGATTGTTCTGGAAGCGTCGGAGAACAAAGGTAATAGTATGACGCGCCGCGGTGTTGAGTCTGGCCACACGCGACTGAAGCCGCCGCAACAAGCATTCTGATTGCCTACACGTTCTGTGCGAGCCTCTCTATTCTGTGTTGTGGAACAGAAAGACAACGCTTCATGTACCGGTTCTATACCAAGTGGCATTCCCAGGTCATAGATCCATTGATTGGGATACCGAGTCAAAATACACCACGCCCCCCCGCTTGGGAAAGCACACGCCCTTCAGGAAGAAAGAGTGCGCTCGGAATCCGAACGAGTCATCATTCATCCTCAGCAGGGTTACTTGGGTTACCCGGACACTACTTTATCAACCGCCCTGCCGAGTAAGTATCGCGGTCAACGTTTGATTTTTCCCTCAGGAATGAAGGTCTAACAAAAGGTAGCAACCCATCAACAAAACATCAGTATAGGGGCTCACGCACAATGCCATTTCGTCGAAGGTCGTCCAATGCACTGCTTCTTAGGAGTCAGCAACACGCTGTTGGGTAGGATCGGAGACAGCAACCGAGTTTCCTGTTCATATATTGACCGGTTTCAATGCGCGCTGCTGCTTTCTGCCCAAAACCGATTTCACGATTTTTTGTATGCTGGCCACACATGCTTGCCGTCAAATACCTCGTTGTACTCCTTGCGGAGCTCGGACAGAGCCTGCTCTAGCTTGTCAGTGCGAGCGGCAGACTCTGTCCTTTGTTTCTCCAGAAGGCCCTGTGGTCGTGTTTCAACAAGCAAGAAGGTCGGAGAGAGAAACGAGGAGTAGGGCTGTATGTTTGAACTGGTGATGGGTGTCGTGCAAAATGCTCTGGATATCTTCCTGTTGGGCTACCATTGAAGTAGTCCGAAACATCTCGTTAAAAAGAGGAAAGGGCAGACATCACATCATGGCAGGCGACAAGAGCAGGAGCGCAAAATAAGCACGGCAGGGCTCAACTTGCATAGGCTCAAATCGCATACGCACCCCCAAAGAAAAACCTTGTGGTACATCAGCCAACACTGCAGCTAATACATGTCAGCTAGATAATACATGTCTTGACTGCGTTTAGACTCGGCACACAAACATCTACACGTTGTCGAAAAGAAATGCTCGATGTACTCTATCTTGTTTTACACGCCCTTCCCTGCGACCCACTATGGACCGAGCGTTCAAAAATACTCCAGGGTTCGGTCGTTGGTAAACTCTAAACCTTTCCTCACTACGGTTTTTTCCAGCCAATGCTTCATGAATAAAGTTCCTTGGAGTCTTTTGAAAACTGTCTTCATCTTATGCGGGGCACATTCAGGCGCGTTGAGACGCCTCGGCAGGGCGATTGGATGTGTACTCCTGTAAGTCTCGAAGAACAGTTTGCGCCATGCTTCGTGCTGTCATTGTTGAAGGGGGCCGTATGACGAGGGGTTCGCTCGTTTCCTGGGCGTGGTATACCTCGAATTTATCACTACAGCAGTACAGCGGTTTGACAAGACACAAACAGCACGACACACCTTCAGGCTGTCGACTGCTTCCTTCCCAGTGGTCCTCAAGGTCAGTATCTCGTGGTCTCTCCAGCCCTCAATCGCCCCGAGCTTGGCCTTGAGGATGGCGACGTCGCGGGCGGCCTCGCCGACTCTCACGTACGATGATTCCACGGCCTCTTGCTCCACGCGTAGCTCCCTTGCGTGCCTTCCGAGTAGGAGACGCAACTTCGTTTGTCCAGGCGGGCAGACAAATGGAGCCGCAGTTAGATTGATCTTCTTTACGGGTGTTTGTGCCTTGCTTTGAGATGTAATGTTTCCCATGAGATTTGTAGGAGCTCATCGAACGCACATGGAAGCGCCTTACACTTGCCTCGTGCTCAACTTTGCCTACGCAAGGTAACGCCCGAACCATTCACCGTGCTTGCCGGCGTGCAGTTAAAGGCAAAAATATCTGCTGTGCTCAATTCTAGAGAACTATTTCACCTTTCGGTTTACGACGCAGCTCCGTTTCAGGGGCACTCGAACGGGCGTGAGGCCAAATGAATTAGTGAAGAACCCACCTTTTTCCATACGCCAAAGTACTATCCCTATCCCGTCGAAATTCCCAACAATCCCTCCACAATGACCCACCTCATCTTCGTGCCGTTGCTTCTCCGCCTTTGGCAGCCATTGGTCTGGGTGGGGTGGGGGAAGTGCTCCCCTGGCAGCACCGAGTACAAGCTCGCCCACGGTGGTCTCGCGCCTTCGGGCCAGCTCCCGAATCCGCAGCATCTCTGCTAGTTTTTCTTCCCAGCCTGTTTCAAAGACCAGAATCGGTTCCATGGGGTGATGTCAATACCAAAGGGGGTGAAGCAACTCGTGCCTTCTCAGTCCGTCCGTTCCATTGTTCTTATCATTCCACTCTCCGCTGCCTACCCCAATCCTCCTCACGTTTCTGTTCCTTTGCCGCCTCTTGGAATTCCTCGCTGACCCAGTCTCTGTGCTCAAAATACACCTCTCCAGGAGAAACCGTTCCCTCTGTTCCGACCCCGTCCTTATCTTCTGCCGCCTCTTTCTTCCTGGCCTCAAATGTGGATCTTTGGGCGACAAGCGTCGCGTGTCCGACCTACGCGGACAACGGAAAGAAAGTCGTGTTGCGGGGCGGAAAGGACAATTTGAGCAGTGTAAACTTTTCACGACTTGCGCAACTTTTTCTCAGCCACGTGCACAACATCGGTCGGGCATACGGAATACGAGTGTGGAGAGATCGACAACGCGTGGATGACTAACCTTTAAAGTATTGCCGTACGAGGGAATGCTAAATGTCTATATAACTCAGTAGACGGACGACGCTGCTGTCTGGGAAGGAGGCAACACATCTACCTACGTGCCGAATTTGCACCGTATCAGGCAATCCAAACCTTCACGAGAAGCCTTATCATGCCCTCCTTCTCCCCCACCGCGGCCCTCTCAGCCAGCAACCTCCGGAACTCCGATTGCACGGCCCACTTTCTCTCTTCGTAAAGCTGCCGCCGACGTCTACCCTCTTCCACAAGACTCTCTCGGAGCTCGGCCACGCGCCTGGTTCAAGGTTTTCAGCCCGTGTGGTTGTCACGAGCGTTGAACGCAAGCAATGTACAACAAACGTCCTAGAGTGTTTACTCGCTGTTTTTTGTCCTCCCCCTCAAGGGCTTCCGTAGTACCGTGGTCGCGTTCTGGATAGGCCTTCTATCGTCGCATGGACCGTTGGGTCAAGGGGGCTAAGGGGTAGCGGGATGCATGTGTCCTACCACCCTCTCTCCCAGGGACTCATAGGAGAGACGTAGCATTATCGTGCGTGGATGCGACGGTGAAGGACGACAACCCAACTTCCTGCAAGCAATATCTCCATCGTTCAGGGGGCTTCCTTTCCGGCGGAAGTCAGATCCTATGACCGGTTACGTCGATACTCCGTTTGACCGGACGATTCGCAATTGGTCGACTTCACGGGCATACTAAATCGTTGTTTTAAGGAGTCCGGAAACAGTTTCGCGTGCTCTTCACGGTGTGATTCCGGTGATTCTCGGAACTGTCGGACATCATATCCGCCCGCAAGAGACCATTCGTTCCACACAATTCCGGCGTTCGGTCCGATGGTCGAGATGTGAGCTTGGTGTCAAACACCCACCTCCATTGTGTACGAAGAACAGAGTGAGAGATAGCTTGAGCAAAAAAACAACGTGCTGGCATGCATACCTTCGGCATTCGATCATCCTTCCTGCTCTTCGCTCTTCCCACCGCAGCGTATCCAGCCGGTTGAGCGCAGCATCCGGCAGCCTCTCCAGTGCTTCCTTGTCTCTAAGCGCATCTGATAGCTCGACCTGGGTGCATGTTGCGGTGTCGCCACTGCTTTGAAATCTGGATTTCTCGTCGACTGGACGTGAAATGTTACACCACATTTTCGCTTGGGTGCGACAACGGTCTCCTTTCTCCAACCAGGGACGATGCTATCGCAATGTTGTTATTGGTACGTATGAACACTTTCGCCTTCATCAAGAAGCGGCTGGCTGGAGTCAGAACGTTCCTTCTAAGATGTACCACACCCATTACCACGCGAATGGGTGCTAGCTCGTGTTAATCATTCATTCAAATCGAGTCCGTACTGATTACAGTTGAAGGCCCTCACCTGTAAACGTAGCAACCACTCGTGCGCCCGGGCCTCCTCGGCAATTTCTTTGGCCAACGTTGCCTGCACAAACCACGACAACGCCGGCCGAAGAACATCGAAGCAGGATTGAAACGGTGGCACATTACTACCTGGCATGTGCATAGTCTCTTTTTCAATGGCACCGAAGACAGGCACAAGGTAGAGTGCGGTGAACCACGAGCACAAAAAAATCTGTGTACACCTGAAACAGAGGTAGTTGACCCAGGGCTCCAAAGAGACTATATCGCGGTTGAACCCCGCAGATGGATCATTTGGCGCTGTGTCTGCTGCACGGACATGCCTCCGATTTACTTGACGAAGGGGCAGTCCTTGCGAGCCAGCCCAATTCCGCCTTTTCGTGGGTTTCAATATTAGGTTCAACTTCATCAAAGACGCTGAAGTATAGTAAGGCTTCCGCTCCGACCTTCAATAAGCTTTCCCCCCTTCAATAGCCTTTCATTTCACTCGGCGTACGACACTCCAAGGGGTACGTTCTACTAGACTATCGAAATGCTCAGCAAGGCTGTAAATCTAGGTGTTCATCACTACTTGCCTCGAACCTCCGCTTGGCTTCTTGCGACTGTAGCGCTATGTCTCGGTCCGCAGAAGCCTCCAAGGCCAAAAGCTTCAGGTGTTCCGTGTGGGATCTTGACGGTAATAGAGGGAAAGCGGGCGACTCGGATCTCACGTGGGTGACCCTTATACGGGCGCAGATGGCACTAGTACCAGGGCGGATCTTTGGTGGAGCTGACACGGTTGCCTTCGGAGACCCAGGGTTCACTGTGCGTTTCCTCCGGGATTCGGAAGGGGCATGAAGCTCGAAGGTCCGTGTCATTTCAGTGTAGATCCAGGAAAAGATGTGGAGAGTGTTTCCAGGCACGAAGAAATAGATTCCTGTCGAGACCATGGTTTAGGCTCGCCCAACTGATCACGCTTGGCGAACAGCCGTTCGTTCCCGTAGTTTCGATAGACATGAGCGTCGCAAATTGAACGCGGAACCAGCAACACGTTCGCACCTTGTACGTGCAGCCAGGGAATCGAGATTCAAGTGGTCTAGTCTCGACTGGTGGCATGTGACAGACAGCCGCTCTTTCCGCTCCACTTCAAGCCGCTCCCACTCGCGGTGATTGTACTCGTACACACCCATGGCATCGTTGTACCTGGTATGGGAAGAAGAACGCGCTTCGGTTGGTTGATTGGTCGTTTGGTCTGTTGATACCTTCGACATCATCTTGCTCCTCGAGTCCTTTCAATGAGTCTACTCATCGTATGCAATCACTCTGCCTAGGTAATCTCTAGAACACCCCAATCCGCTCTACCCCCCCCTCTCCTCACTCTGCCCTATTATTACCGATCCACCTCAGAAGATGTGGCTAATTCAAGTCCGACTTCGTTGCTCGGCTTGATTCGATGCCGGTTCGGCCCGCCAATAGTTTAGCGTCTCTTGCGAGCGTTCGGAGTTGTTAATACGAAATGACAAACAACGCAGTAGGCTTCGTTTTTGTGTATGTTCCTCTCTTACCTGAGCGTTTCTTCCTCGAGCAAAATCATCACCTCTGCTTGTCGCTGGCTGAGCACCGTCGTGATCTCTTGCAACTGTTTCGACGACATGGTCTTCCCCTCGGGTAGCAGGATTGGTTCGCCGTGGTCAAAATCTCCGCCACTTTCGATTTTTTTTTGAGGCGTATGCATACGTTCGTTGTGAAAGTTTCGGTGTTATTGAGAGGGAGTGCGAGACGGCAGTGGCGGGTGTTCGGACCGATTGGTGAAATGAGAAGAAACTTGCTGCATCAACGCCAACGGTCCTTCTTGTTACCGATGACTAGCCAATCGATCGAGCGCGACATTACAGTACGTATGCATCATTGATCCGACTCCACGACCAGGCTCAGCAGCGCGCAGTGCACCCACCGTATTTTTTCCGAAAAAACGTCCACTTCGTCCTGCCGCATTTTCTCTGCGTTGGGTACTAGCGACGGCGGTACCATCCGTCCCGGGTCAAGCGTTGGCGGCTTCAACGGTGTCACCAACGGAAACATGAGCATACAAAATGACCAAAAGGTGGAACAAGATCGTAAGCCGAGTCGAAAGGCAAGTCAATCTCAAGCGACGGTGTACGCCGGGTCAGGGAGGATTGACAACCCATGCAAATAGGGGCGAATAGATACACTTGGAAGACTTGCTAAAGTCTGTACGCTCTTTTAGTTAATGAGGTATTTCCCGGTATCACGGCGTGTTCGTACGTAACAAAATGCATCCGTGTCCTATCTGTCTGCACGTCTCTTTGTAGGGAACGAGGAAGGGCAGAGATGTGTATGCACGACTGTGTTTGGTAATATCAACACCTCAAACTTATTGAGTAAAGCATTAGTTGAACCAATCGCCGCAGGTATCACAACCGAAGCCACCAACTCCACGAACAGGTGCGAATTTACCGAAGACTTACAGACGGCGGCTGCGGCTCGATCAACGGCACTCTGAGACCCCTTATCTCCATGGCCATCTTTGCCATACCGGCCTGTTGCCGTGAAGCATCGAATGCTAGGCCCGCGAGCGCCATCTCTTCTCCTTCGATCAAACCTTTCCACCTTATGCAGCCGGGGGCCAGGAAGATTCGGACAGGGTTGAAGGTCAAATGTGAACCTGATGACCTTTTGTATCCAGGATTATTCGAACACGTTATTTTTACAACTTCTGCACCAGATTGCATCCTAGTATGCGCACAAAGAACGGCCAGCACACCGACCGTTGGCACAGTCGTGGCAACGCGTGTCGGGGCAATTCAACCCTCATCGCTCGGTGATTTCTACTCTGTTGTAGAAGACGGCAGGGAATCGAAACACCACCCAAGGCACCTCGCCGCTGCTTGAGCTCGCCCTTCTTCCAGCAGGCCCTGCGTCTCGTTGATATCAACGAGAGTTTGATGCAGCGCTTCCTCCAGTACTACCGCTTCGTAGCGGAGAAGCTCCCTGGCATCCTGGCAGCCGCGTCTACGAGCGCCTTCCTGTCACCGCCAAGTTGGTCATGCGATCGTTGTTTCGATCAAGGACACAAACAACACGGCAGCAGAGGCAGGCGTGTTCGATTCGACTCGATCTTGTGAGGTCGGGGTCATCTTTGTGGTCCATTCGCCCGATGCATTCGGTTTGAACGATGGAATATGAGACAATCAGTCAAAACATGTCTATGATGACTACGAGTGTAGTAGCAGCACGTGGAGGGGCACGGGAGAACGGCGAAGTATGGAGAGATAGGAATGTCCAAGCTCACGCGGCGCGAGCAACAAAAGCAGTTTCGTCCAGCCGAAACAAAGACCAGAACACCGGGTATGGTCGATACAAGGACGTATCGTGTTTGAAGGTGACAATCGAAATGGTCGGTCTGAAGGGTCGCTACACATCCTCGACTCTCACGACATTCCTGGAACTTGCCGTGTCTGCTTGGACGCTGCTTGGGTCGTATCCTCTCGGTCTGGCAAGAGGGGCCTCATCTCGCTGGCGCAACATCTCCATCGTCTCCTTGCGCCGCGCCATCTGCGCTGCGTATTGCTTTTCTTGAGCCTGTGCGCCAACAATACGAGTGCCAAGAACAGAGAGCAGTGATTGCCCCGTCATTGACGCCCGTTTCATGAGCAAGCAACCGAGCAAGATCGAGCGGAGGAGCAGGCCTCGAGTTGAAACGCTTCAGTCGCGCTTGCGGCAGGTGATAGTATTGTGCAGATTGTGGAACAACACAGAGCCACAGCGATACACGGGCCGTTGTGAGAGTGATCCAATGTGGTTGATGGAGTGATCAGCAAACCCTGGCTTTTGTCAATTCCTTCATTGAAGAAAAACAAACGAAAAGGGCGGGATGAACATCGAGAGGGGGCTCGAAAATGTCGTGTACGGGAACTCGCTGCCAAACATTGAAAATATCTCCACGCTCATACCTCCGGGTTATTCCAGTCGTCTGGGATCGAAAACTGAACGGCCCTTCCGCATTTTCCTGCCGCCACTAACGAAGGAATTTCTGCACCAAACCGGAGCATGACGGCGGACTGTATCACAGGCTCATCTTGTACTTCGTCATCGCAGTCCCCAGCTTTGAACAGGCACCCGCTGCCACCCCGTCCAACGATCGTTCCGCTGGCAACAGTCTCGTCGTGGAGATCAGCACTGCCGTCGCTCTCTGTGGGCACACTTGCTTCTAACGAAATTGGGTTCGTGGCCGCGGATACCTCAACAACCTTGTTCAACCGCTGTCGTGCCTTGTTGAACAAGGGTGCGGGATGTGGTGGGTTGGGGAGGCGGCGGTTACCACGGAAGGATTGAGTCTGGCAGCGCTTACTGCAGGAGGTCGTTCGGGGTGCGTGGACACAAGAGTTCACCAGCCAAGTTCCAAGTAATCAGCGAAAGCGCATCTGGGATTCGTGTTACCTGGTCTTCAATAGTGGCTACGCCGTCCTCACTCTTGCCTAGAAATTCAAATAGCAATCCACGCGTAGTGCTGCTTCAACTTTGGCGAAGGTGTTGTCGATAACCACGACATCGATAGCCACCGTCACGATACCGCGGAAACAGTACACAGCACCATGATAAAATAAGAGAAGACGGACTGGGATCCCAGCAACCGTGACGGTTAGTAGAACCGTTCTTCTGCGCATACCTCTTGAGCCGCCGCTTCAGCTGCCTGCCGAAGAAAGCCTCGCCTCGAACTCACAGCCCCCATGCACAAAGCTTGGGCTGCGGCATGCCTGGACGAGCTCCCAGATAGTGGATACTCACCGCTACAATCGCCAACGCTGCCACCACCTCCATCACTGCCACCGCCACTGCCGTCGCCGTTGTCGTGGTCGACCTGGGGAATCCGCGTTTTCGTTCGTCGCGGTAACCCCGGGGCTACCTCCTCTTCCCGCTTCCCTATCTGCTCGGCGAAAAAAGCGGCGGTGCCCCAGCGGTCGCCCCCTCTAGGGCCCCAAACGCTTTGCGGTGGTTTTTCTACGAGGTTCGAGCCGTTTAGGCCTGCCCAAACCGCCTCCGCCGCCATCGCGTGAAAAGCTGCGCATGGAACGCCGCCGTTACTGCCCCCCTCCTGTTCCTCGGAGGCACGAGCTAGAGGGAAAGCTCGATCGCCGATCTCTTGAGCGAGAGTGTCGGGCAGCGTTTTCGACGGATTCGAAAATCGTTCCTCGGTTACCTCCTCGACCCCCACTGTAGCATTGCCCTCGTCTAATGTGGCTCGGTCAGAAAGGTTCGGCAGCGACGGCGAGCTTCGCTCCTCTTCTCCTTTGGCGCTGGTGACCTGTGGCTGCTCCTCTACGAACCCATCGTGGTCGGTTCGGTTGCTTCCGCGAGAGTCGCCGCAGGCGGGTTCGGCAGCTGCCCCCCCTGCAGCTTGCGTCGTGGCCTGGTCGGCCGCCGTTTCAAGTGCTCGATACCTTTCTCCGTTGGACGAGGCGGTGCGGGGGCCACTTCCTGCTGGTTCTGTTACCGCTGTGACAGTATCTTCACCAGACGAAGCGACACCAGCAGCGGCAATGTCCATGGCATCTTCGTTGGTCTGCTCACCTCCTACCGCCGACCCGATTGCTGCTTCGTCGGTCGTCCTTTCCTTCTTGACCTCCTCATAAACCCCACCATCGTTTGAAGTGTCACGGGCATCAGCTGCGTTCGTCACAGTTGTCGCGATAGCCGCTGAGGCTACGTCCGCCGACGACAACGTCGTGTTACCACCTCCTGGGCTCTCGTCTAATCCTGGTACTGCGCCGGCATCTGCTAGTTCTTTAGTTTTTCCTGCTGCCACCGTTGGTGCCGTCATGTTTCCTTTTACGTCTTGGCCCCTTGCGGTTCCCTCCTCCGACGCGCCCAGTCCAAGGGCGAAGTCGTGCACTTCCAGCTCTTCCAATCGTTTCGCGGCCAGAAGGTCGTGCGCCAAGTCTTCGAGGTCGCGTCGGACCAACTTTAGCCTCCTTTCAAACCTTTGTACACGAGATACAAGAATGGATGCGAGTGTTGCCCAAAAACTCTCCCGGTAAGATAAAGCGGAAGTTAAAGGGCATATTACGACGTGCAATCTTGAGCGGCTGTCCCGAAGGGAAGCTGTTGCCGCCATCGCCCGAACGAAACAAGGTAAAGATTGATCATGAAAAACGTCCGTACCACCAAATGACTTGTCGCGTTTTTCGTGTCAAAAAAATCACGCGATCGACACCTTGCTGTCTTTCCATCCGTCAGTCGTCTTGAAGTATTGATGAGTTCCATCGTCGTCGGTATCGCCTCACCTATCTTTGGTATTGCCTCACCTTTTTTTGGTATCGCCTCACCTGTCTTCTCGTCTCGCGAGCCGAGCGATGATACTCCTGATCTCTGCAACATCTGCGGGTGCTCCCTCCCAACTGTCTCTCTTGTCCTTCTGGACAGCCGCGTTGGTCTCAATGCCTTCTTCCTCGTTTGAAGAATCAATCGGCCCTTGGTAGCACCAGCCTTCGTCTCCCATGGCAAGCTCCTCCACGCTCTGGGGATGAGAAGTATTGCGAGTAAGGTTTCGCGAGCGAGTGCGTGTCAACGCAGAACGACAAGAACGTCGGCCATGTCCATGCGCTTCAGCAAGTGAAGAATATTCTTGTAACTACAAGGCAGACAAGTTTTGGTGGATGGAACTTTCATATTGATGGAGCAATGATAATCTGGTACCTGGATATCGTACACGAACTCGTCTTGATCTTCGTCGTCTTCATCGCTGCTCTCATCGTTGGCCTCGCCACCCCCATTCTCAAGTGTCAACGGCTCGTCCGCCTTCCGTGTCCGTTTTTCTTCTGCTTCCTTGGCTTTATTAAGCCACGTGATAACTACTCGGGCAGCCTAGTTCGGTACAGAAGATGCATGCATTGTAAGATGGAGAGCGCAATAGCGAGGAAGAGGTGCAGAAGAGCTTTTCATATATTCAGCAGGAGAGACGAAATCAACATCTACAATGCATGGTCACGAAGAAGTAAACTCAGTACATCCTGAAGGGCCATTCGTTTCGTCGGCAATTCGCCTCGCTCGTGAGGTTGTAATGTTATGGTGATGCAATGCACACCTCTATAGCAACATCCCTCGAAACCTCGTCTTGGGTGGGCCCCTCCCAGCCCTCTAGCTCGTGCTCCCCAAGCCCCATGGCTTCGCTCCAGCCCTTGGGTTCCGTTTGAACCACATCCCCTGTAGCACATAGAAGACACAAAAATGCATCAAATGGGGAGAGGATGGTAAAAGATCGAGGTTATTATTGTATCTCCTCGATCTCCGTTGTAGAATGTGTTGGTGTAGGGGACGACCCGAATTCACGAAGCTTGGACGCAAACTCGTAGCCTCAGCCAACCGGCAACACCGTAGAATTTTAGAGGCTTTTGCCCAAACGAAGCGCATTCAATCTTCTCAGCTAAGTGATATAGCGTTCACAGAGGCGTGTGCTCGATCGTTGAGAGCCGCCACCTTTGAGATTGGTGCTTCGAATGAAGAATACGATTCTTCCTGGAAATTGTCATGCGGCACTCACCGCTGCGAGAGTTCTGCCAGAACGGCTTGCCCCATCCATCAGTACCTTGTTCCCACTCTCTGGGAAAGGCAAATCATGACCAGTTTCCACGTGCGGCCGGGAAGTCATGAGCGTGGGGTGGCTCGGTTAGATGGGTACGGCAGCATCCTGCAAACATAAACCTTACTACATATGTGATATATTTTGATATTCGTCAGCCTGACACGTGGTTCAAACAAGTCCATTGAAGGCACGCTTGCGCGCTCTGTAGCGACAAAGTGTGCACACTCAAGGCTATACCACCCCACCTTCACCGTAAATATTCCACCCACCGGAGGGCCTGAAGCCTCGGGTCCACCTTTTCCCCGAGCTCGTTCCTTCCGAGCGGGGGCCTGTACCTCATCTCCGGCGGCGGGTCATACACCGCCTCCCCCGACTCCCAGTTTGCGTAGTACGTTCGACCGTAGTCATCAGCTTTGGTCTCCCACTGGTTCACAAGCCCAGACGCCAGACGAGAATGTGATGACATCAACGGTTGCGAAACATGCACACTGGTGGTCACGTTTTCATGCATTGGCAATAGGGTACATGTCTTGTGGCGCAATAATTTTCGGTGGCAGTATGCGGAGCGATATTAAAACGATTACTCCAATCAACATGCAGGTTCAAGTCAATATGGCACGCGGACACTGTCGTTACAAAATGCAATGCGCCGGAAGTATTCACCTTCGCTGCTGCCGCAACTCCAGCTCGGATTGCCTCTACCAGGTCTCTCTCTGCCTCCTGCTCCTCCATCTTGAGAGTTTGTTGGGCTCTTTCTTCCGGCGTCATCGTGCGGAATCGCCTCAGAACGGAGGGTACGAGCCAACCCTCTGGCCATAAATTAGCGAGGTATCTGGCACGATAATAATGGTCGGACGAGCCGGGAGTTGTTCATTTTATGTAGTCACCAGAAACGATGGAGCACCCATAAACAAGTGGTAGCAGGGTGTCACGTTAGATCAATAAACCGAAAGTAAATTATCCTGCTTGGAATAATGTAGGATTTTGTCAAACACAGTGAACAATTCGGGCGAAAAGGTCGAAACGGGGTAAGAGACACACCGTCGGTCGGACTCTCGAAGGGCCTTTTCCTCTTGACGTCCTGCGTATGCGGCCGCAAGCTCGTCTTCCAAGGGAAGCTTCACCTCATCCACGCGTTCTTCAACAGCCTGCGGCAGCCGTAGATGGAGGTAGGCGAGAGGACGATGAGGCAAACAAATGAGCACACAGATAGACAAGACCGACAGAGCGGCACAGGCAGGCAGACAGACAGACAGGCAGACAGACAGACAGACAGACAGACAGACAGACAGACAGACAGACAGACAGACAGACAGACAGACAAACAGACAGATAGAGAGGCCGGCCTACGTTCGAAACAAACTCATGACATTAACCGTCGTATTCGTTGAGCACACATAGGACACAAGTAGCCAGCCGCCAGCAATGTTCTGCTATGTATCAGATTCCCTTTACGACGTCCACTGTCACCTGAGTGAACCTCTCTTCCAGTTTGTTCGCCCTGTCTCGGGTTTGTTCAACTTCCACGCCTGCCGTCGCCAGATCTCGCGTCAGTTGTTCTATCCTGAGACCTCGTTCAAATAGTTCTCGCTTTTGCAGTTCGATTTTCTTCGTCGCGACCTTCACCGCTTCGTTGGCTTGAGTGACCACCCGAACCCCCTCTTCTACCTGGAGAATATGCCCAGAGAAAATTGGAACAGCAGGGCGGCCGACAGAATACGGAGCCGGACCCATGTGTGTGAATAAACTTCCCCCTTTTATTGTGAAACCTGCCACATTCTCATGTGTAGCGCGCACTGTTCGACACGAAGGCAACATTGTAGGTTGAACTGCACCTTCGTCACAAGTTATTGTACATAACGAAGTTGATGAATCCCCTCCTATCCGGTGCTGGGCATCAGGAAACACCATTCGGACATTCCCGCCTAAACTTGCGCAACGTTGGCAACTCCACCTTTGTGACGCGAGAATCAGTTTCATCCATTGCGGCAGACATCATTTCGCAAAGAGAGGTAACGGCCGTGCCGCACGCCTCCCATTCCTTCTTCGTCTTCCGTAGTGCCGCCGCCTCACTTCTGTTGATATGTCAGTTACCGCAAAGCGAATCCTTGGTGAAGAAAAGCGCATGTTCTCTGGGGAAGCCGTACGTAACTCTTTTACGCTAAGCAACAATGGCTGAACAGCATCCAAGAGCCGAATCGTCCGTGGTAGATTCCACCTGGCGATCTGAACGTCTGCAGTTTTCAATACCGTCAAAGTGGGCATGGAAATGCTGCCGCCAGCCTACGAAAGGAATCGTTCGCTCGTTCTCGCACCTGACTTCATTGAGGGACACCTCGAGCTTTCGAGCTTGGAGCTCGGCCTCTTTTCCCTTCTTAATGGCCTTTTCTTGCTTCTTCTTACCCTCGTCGAGGGAGTCGATGTTGTTTATAACTTCGGCAATCTCTAGAATGCGCGGCTTGTCGTAGTCCGATTCCCCTGATCAAGTATATCGCACGGTCATACACCGATTCAGGCAGTATGTGTGGTTTGAGAACCATACCCAAGGGTGGGCGCCGACTGCTCCTCAAATCCGCTGCGCGCTGCACCTTCCCCTCGGGTATGACAGGTGGAGCGCGATGCTGTAGCTGTACCTCTCCTTGCGAAGTACGCTGTGTGCTACTGCTGTACTCGAGCGGTGCGAACTCAGTAACCACCATTTCGCTCTGAAATGCTCTCTAATCGTCTGTAGGACGTACGTGTTGTTTCTGAGGAAATAGGAATCCAACTGTAAATCGCCGATTTTGCATCACACAAGGCCAAATTGTCTGAACTGCACGCACCGGTCTCTGAGTTGTAGTAGTACGGCTTGCCGTGCTCATCGGTTGCCGCCGCCCACCCCAGCGGATCCCCCGTGAATGCCCTTCGCAATTTATCGAGTTCCGCAACAATTTCTGCATTCTTGGCGTCGGCATGCTCCTTCGCCGCTTGAAGCCTCGCTGAGGAGTCTTGCAGGAGGTCCTGTGACGTACAACGGGCGCGTGTGGTAACCAGCGTTGCTTGGCGGGTCGCAGCAAGCTTCACGTCGCACTGACAGATGTCTGTTGCTGCTGTGTACTTGCAACATCGTACCACCACCTTAGTGCACCTTGAGAAAACAACGCACAGGTTTCTATCTCCGGAGTTCCTGTACCGCAGCACTAAATACTCGACACGGGCGAGGGCGTGCGACGGCGACGAACGACGGAGCGACGGCGGCGCGATCGAGGAAGACGGCCTTGGCCAAGGCCGCCCGAACGACCCGACCCATCCCATCCCGACGAAGGATGAACGATGGGGCGCGGCGGTGCTACTACTGTACGTAATAATCGAGTCGCACTATGTCGAAAGTCTACTCCAGATTTAGACTAGACTACACCCTCGTCGTTGTTCTCTTCAAATGTACCCACAAGACTGGTTACCGGCGCGTATCTGCCCCCGCCACATACACTACAGAGAAGTTGGAGATACCCGAGATAATCGACCATGTCACCCGTTTTACAGAAAACACGCGGGTGCGTCCATGAGTTCTTGCATATGTACATACAACATGCTCAGTGTATTACGGTGCGGATGTGCGGATCGAGATCCTCACGTGTTTCTCGCGTTGAAACTCATCATTCTGAGCGGCAAGCCTGCCTGTCCACTCGTCGTTGAGCTTGTCATAGTCGGCATTGAGGACCTTCAGCTTCTCCTGAACCTCGAGCAGCTCCGCATTGCCACCGGACATCGCACGCCCTTGGCTCGTATTGGCCCTCTCCTGCTGCCCTCCGCAGTCCCATGTTGGGCAGCTCCCTGGATCTTGGATCCACCACGCTCCCCACCCCCGAACAATCCACGGGCCCCCACCTGGTTGGGGAACCATCACGCCCCCGTGAGTTTCCTCCATTTTTTTTTTCAATTAATAATCCCCCGTTGGACAAGGCATTCACAGCAGCCTGGCAGCCCCGGTGTCCCGATCCCACACAATGTTGTTGTTGTTGTTGACTTCACATTAAACCGTATGCCAGTTGCTAAATGCCAAAATCTAGCAAAGACTCTCAGCCCGTGGTCACGAAAGTGCTAAAGCCATCTGAGGTAGTCCATTTTAATTTTTAATTTTACCATCCGTGCGAAAGGATCTTTACTTCTAAATTTTCTGTCTCCTCATTGGTTGGAGATGCACGTGCGCGCGCTCCCTCGGTGAACCTCTTTTTGGTTCTGTTCACAAAGCTCTCCTGGGGTGGGGAAACCCTGGCGCTGTGCTCGCGCTCGTGCTCACTGAGATTTCTCCGCACGCCGCGCACGAGGTGCGCGTGCTGTGAACGGCGGACAGAGCGGCCGTGCTACCTTATCGACACGTAGCCTCCAGAGGAAAGCATTGCATAGTGTGGCTCCCACCGTTGGCCACCACAGCAGCGGTCAGTCGTTGATGCAAGGAGGTGAGCGGCATGCTGCCGAGCACGCGCTCTGCTGGCGGCGTGCCATCATTATGCTGATCATGATGCAGGCGCGGATGACTACGTGTATGGTGCGGCTGGTCGCCAGCACAAGCCGGTGTCGCACCCCTTGCCCCCAGCCCCATGCGCGAACACTCGAGAGGACTTCAACTCCTTGCAGTGAAACCACGCGTCGGGTATCCGTCCTCCTCGAGAACGGACAGCGACCTTCTCCGGTGGCGAGCCGTTGGGCAATTCCCATCTGTCGCCCGGCGGCGCCCCTGGCGGTGTGCCTCCGTCGTGAACACCTTTCCTTGCAACACTCTTGCGGCTATCGGAGCGACTCGCAGAAGTGTGAGAGAACGTGAATCACCACCAGCGAAACGCCACGCGTCGCAAAGCCCACCATCTCGGGGAAGCTTGGGACGAGATGCAAGAAATTCATGCGAGGGCTTCGGCGCCGGTGAACGTCGCGGCAGAGTGCCACACTCGTTCCTTGCTACAGCTGTGCAGATGTCCCCAGCATCGGAGGCCTTGGGGAAGCTAGAGGAGCTATCAGGTGATGGTTCGAATTCGCGGAACCGCATACGCCTCTTTCGTCTTCCATTGGGGTGCCTACGGGACCGGGATACTGCTCTACCGGTAAGTACGGGCAGAGTGCACCACTGCTACGTTCGGAGGTAGAGGAAGGAGCGCAGCTAAACTATGAAGGCCCATGCCAACTTGTAGCAATGTTGCCACCACGGCAGCGCCCAGCCAAGGCAGTATCGTGGCGACTGCAGCAGCAGCAGCAGCAGCAGCTGTCAGCCGCGGGTTGCTTCGGAGGAGTATGGCCGCCGCCGCCGCCGCCGCCGCCGCCACGGCTATTGATGGCGCAGCAGGGCGCAGCTGGCGGGGCGGTGTTTCAGCCGCAGCAGGTTGGACGGGTACGTCAGCCACTCCCGCCGCTGCCGTTGCCTGTGCAGCAGAGGACGGCAGGTGGCATTGTCGGTGACGCCCTAACCGGCCATGGTGTACCTCTGTTTTTGCAGCATTGTGCACCGTATGGCTCAGGGACACGTAGTCATGAGGAGGAAGACGAGGGGGAGGAGAGGGAGGCAAACGAGGCCTCCAGCGGAATGCCCGCCCCTGTCATCGTGCCTGCTGATGCTACGTTGGCGTAGCGCAGCTGGTGCTGTTCGAAAACCGAGACAGCTACTTCGATTTGTCGTGGGTGTCTCAAACGATGGCATTGCCACGTCGACCATGGGATGATCGACCTCAACAACGATCGCTTCACTTGCTGCTTCTGCGATACCAAGGCGAAATCGGCATGCCGGTGTCACGCGTGAGTACCCAATTTCGTTTTCCGCTGTTCAGAGTCTTCGTTCATTTGCAATTCTGTGTTATGATGTGACCAAGAGTAATGTGCCAGATCGAGTTCTCGGATGCTTCTCGCGCACGTGGGTTTCACCCGTTTCGATACCAACCACCCATGTGGTTTTTACGAGAGGAATATGCAACAATATCTCGACTTCCACAGCGCTCTCGCAGTCTGGTAGGTTGTCACATGTTTCNGTGCGGTTTTTACGAGAGGAATACGCACCAATATCTCGACTTCCACAGCGCTCTCGCAGTCTGGTAGGTTGTCACATGTTTCCACCTAGCTGCTCCGGGACTGTTGCTGGTGATCTATATCGACTCCAACTTTCTGGTTGCTTGAACATAGGCGTTTGTTAGGGTTTCACCCTTTCGCAGTGCGACCAAGACCGAAGTGGCCACAATACGACCTGCTGTCGGGGTGTGTACTGTAAGTTCCTTAATTCCCCCCTCTATTTTTCCCACCATCACATGCTTCGTACTCGTACAGGTGCAACAAGAAGAAAGCTGATAAGCGAGCGGCATCCCAACGAGCTCAAGCCGGCCACATCCACGGGAGTAGCGTCTCCCGAGTGGTTCACCGTCAGACTCGAACCAGCGCTTTCAAGCTCCGTCTGCCTCTCACGGTCGCGGCGGGCAACTCTAGAGATAGANCAACTAACGCTTTCAAGCTCCGTCTGCCTGTCACGGTCGCGGCGGGCAACTCTAGAGATAGAGAGAAGGCACTGTTTTCGGTCTCTACTACCGCCCGCGGCGACCGTGTCATGGTCGTCACCGACGTCACCGCCGAGCAACCTGGTGCGCCTGCAAGCTGCATCGTGAACTGCTGCGATAACCGATGTCACAAACGAGTCGATGTGTGTAGTTGTTGGGGGATGTCACGAAACAACAGTGCTTGTGTGGTGTTTGATACGCTTCTTTCTCGCCGGTAAACCTACGATCGAAACTTCACGTTTGTTGCAACCCATCGCGTTTATGACTCCTTTGGAAAAGAAAAGGCATTTGCAGGGCACAGATAGGGGCCCGGCCGTTCAGCACTCACATTTTTTTTTCGATAGTTGCTGCTTGCTAAATTTCTCAGAAACTAGTCAGGAATTCGTCGGCATGTTTTTTTTTTTTGACGACGCTCTGTCACTTTCATGGTTGCTTTCGTATAGTTTTGCAGTGTGCAATCGGAACCCGAGCAAAGCGCCAAACGCCGAGCAGATTGCAGCGGGCCAATGTGAGCACGCTGACGTCATTGTCGGAGATGGGACCACTCCGAAGGCGGATATTCCTGAAGCAGAGCCGGTTGTCTTTGGCAAAGATGGGGAAGGGATCGAAAGCGTTGGGGATGCAGCGATAACCCAGATGGTTTTGACTCAGGGTAGCTTTGACACCATTCTAAGGATGGCAGTGACTGCAGAGGAGCATGGGGTGCCGCTGTTGATGCGCTTAGGCGAGACTCAGACGTATGTTGTATACCATCCGGGTCATGGGTCTATTCCTGGCAGCTGGGCACACGCCGAGACGGATTTCCCGCAACCACCTGGGTCGAAGAAAGCGCCCTCAACGAAACGGCGGTCCACTCTAAAGAAGCAGATCCAGTGTAAGGTCATAGTCTACTCCTGCCGATGCGTGACTATTTTTTTTTTTTTTTTCGGAGCCCTAGATTGACTGTATGTAGAGCGCTTCTGTTGTGTATGTTTTCCTACCCCAACCTTCAAATTCGTTGTGCAAACCACGCCAGCAATATCGGTGCATGTGCTCTCTTGCTCGGATGGTGAATATCGTGGTATACCTGACCTACAGTTTTTTCCGCTGAGGATAGCTGGTCGGAAAGGCAAAGTAGCAGCGAATGATGATACTTTCGGTGCTTTCAAGTGGGTGTGCATCATAGCGCACGTAGCATTGACTGTTGTCACAAACCTGTGTCCCACCTACTGTCCACCCCCTGGCGCCCGTCACCTGGCTATGATCATAGGCGAATGGGGGGACGGGGTGCACCTCGTCCAAGAAAGGCTCTAGCGGCAAATGCGTGCATACGCACATCGTGAGGTTGGGTGTCATGGGCAGCGATTGTGGAAGCAGCTCCCTCCTCAACTTAGACGGCGGGAGCGACGAAAATTCAGGCGATGAGGGCATCGGTTCAGGGGCGACGGAGTACAGGCATAATGCACCGGGGTTTGTAGCAAAGGTAGAACAGCTGCTGAGAATGTTCGGCAGCATCAAATACCCGGTCCACGTCCTTGCAGCCCTGTCGGAAGATGGAGAGCGTGGCAGTTTGGAGGCGGACGCCGAGATTGCGAGTCTCGAGGACGTATGCCCCAATTGCGACGGGGAGTATGTCCACTTGAAGAGTGTGCGGGTCACAGCGTTGGTCCCGGTGAGTTGGATACATGGTTCATTGCCGGCACCGCGCGTCGCATAGTAAACATCGCCCCTTTTGGGTGCGGGTGCTTGGGCATGGGCATGTGGTGGGCCCTGTGTCCGTGTACTACTTGCTAGATTTTTCTGTTGGGGCATTGTGCCATCCACTGCCACATCGCAAAGGCATCTAGGGTACATAGTTGGTCACGCCAGACCGTGAAGAAGGAAAGACAAGAAACGCATGTTGTCGATGTGACTGCTGGTGCACGAGATACCTCCTCGAACATCGTATGTGGCAGGCACATGGGGTCAAGGTCATTGAAAATTCTTCAACTAGCGCAGACGGAGTGCACATTAGATTTATACATGGGTCCGCTCGACCTGTTTAAGCTCCTCAAGCAACGTCGGTAGGACTCGCGTCACATGGCAACCGTACAAAAATTGCGTCTGCACACAAAGTTCTTCAAGATATTGCGAACCTCCAAGAAAGCGTGAGAGCGCCGTTCATTCCATTCAGTTGGTCATTCTGACTTTGTTCCCGCGACGTCATCATGTCAGGGGCCCGGTCTCGTCGAGGCCGTGCTTAAGGTCAAGGGCTGTGTTGACTGCGGGGTGGAAGCGGCGAGCGGTGATGACTGGCAAGAACACGGCTTTTTCGTTTTCGGGAAGACTCTACCCGTCCATCTGTCCCACATGGACGCGACGAGGCGGGCGGTGCTTGGTGGTACGGCAATCAGCCACGCATTCGACAACCTCCTCCGTCCTTTGGCCGACAACCTGATATGGATGACCCGGAACAAGCTGGCCAAGTGACTGTGTGACTGTGAAAATCGTCATCATCCACTGTTTGTTGTTCTTTGCCTTCCGCTTGTAGCAGCACGGAACGATCCAATGTGTCACGGGGGGGTGTTAACCTGAAACTGCAAGGGAAACACCCGTCTTCGGGAGCAGCTCTCCATGATCAAGCTAGGAAATAAATATTCATCCCTTCGAACTCCAGTCCCGAAACATTTCTTGCCTATAGTAAATCAAACGCACGATCTTCGAACCGAATGCAGCAATTAGTGCAAGTGTGGCAATGCCAAGACGGTAGGTCGTTGCCACTGTACTAGTATTTATCCCCCACGTCTTGACCTCAAAGTCGAATGTAGGACAACCTAATTCCGGCTTTCCTGGGGGATCAAAGTACGATATTGTTTCAACGAGTCATTGAGCACATTTTTTCTCCAGGGCTGTTGTTATGTAAGTCGTTCCCAGTACATTTCGTATCCCCCTCCCAGGGGACGTTGGATGAGGATACCGCAAAGAGTTTTTTGTATTCACGGAGATGCGAGGGTTTTCCAAATCGCTTCGTTCGTGTTCGCGCCCCCGATCCCACTGCATCTATTCTCATTTTTTGTTCCGCACCCCCCCTGCGAAGTGAAACCAATGCGCGGAAGGACAGGATAACGAAATCTTTGGGCGGGTCTTAGGATAGGGACAAGAAGGGGTGGGGGGAATATAGCTGAAACATGTTGGGAATATCGCGGTGGTATCTCGGTTGGTCTGCATCGTGCAACAAGTAGTTTGACCAGCTGGGTGGGGTGCAATTTTGATGAAGAGAGGGAAATTGAGCACCGGTAGCACATTGTTCTGGCCTACAGTACTTGTCATTTGTATTGGCCCGGTACTTGCGTGTAAGGCGGCACGTACCTCCGCACCAAAACAACATTGTGTTGAGGAAGCTGATGTGTACCGGCAACATGCGCTCCGTGGTAGAGCTGGGCTCCGGCGTGTCTCAAGCGATTTTCTCAAGAATGTCACCCTCGAGGTGACACGGTCAGCCGTCGTGCGATCGTTCTTGAAAGGTGTTCATGTCCCACGTTATCGCAGTACCGACTTAAATACCGGAGTGGAAAATGCAAAAAGATCACGTTGTTTTGTTGTTTCGCATCACGGTGCGGACTGTTTCCCTGGGCGGTGGTAATGCGCGGTGCAGCATGGACGTGTTGATACGTAGGGGCTTGACCCCCCAATGCTTGGAATGAAGCTCACTCCCCTTCCGGCATGTTCCTGTTGCTGTCCCCGGCCTACCGCTCTCTCCTCCCAGAGCGCTGACCAACAACAACTTGAAACAGCTGTTGCTCGACGCGTATCTGGCCTTGGAAGCCCTCACCGACCACCCCTACGGCTTCTTCAGCTTCATCGACGGGTATTTTTCCGCTCCTTTCGAGTTTTGACGGCTGCGCCAAGGTGGCGACCAACATCTGCATCGAGAAGTACCTGCAACAGCGCATGAAGCAAGTGATCGACATGGACCTTGATGCGATCTGGCTCGTCATCAGCATGCTGTCGCCGATGGTGTTCGGAATGCGGCTGCAGTTCTCACAAAACACGCCGGTGACTTGTTGCCCCCAAAACCGCAAGTCCAACATCATCGTGGTACCTGCTCGTGGACATGCCCCGCGTAGCGGAGATGAACAGGCTGCCGATGGCCAAGAACTGATGGAGCGTGTCCGGGAGAACAAGGATGGCCTTGGACTATCGGAGATGTTGGAGGGCATGTCGCTGGACGGGCTGAAGGACCTCTATCGTTTGTGCTTTGTGCCGCGAGCGCCGGGAATTAGCAGGTATTTTTCAAGCTACAGCGATTTCTTTTGTCCATATTGCCAAAATTCTTGAGGTGGTAGCGCCTATTACAGAATGGATCGCTAAATTGCCGTAATATTTGTTTTTTTTCCCTGTTTGGTACTCTGCGATGATCGTGTTGCGTTTTGTTCGAGAAGAAACAGTGCTGCCGTGAGGCACTATGAGAAATCGTTTCTTGGTTTCTACGCAGGGGTTGTACTTATCATTGTTCCACCGCACATTTGAAGTTGCTCCATTGAGGGCTGGAGGTAGCTCGAGACTATTGCAGTAGTTGATTCAACAGGTATCATTGTTGACATCGAAAACATCGACAGCTATCCGCGCGTTTGTTTTCCGTGTGGGGGAGTAGTCGAGATCGTCGGAAATATGGACGCCCGCCATATGCGTCCAATTTATGCATTCGGGTCGGGTGTTTTGCTCGTCAAGGTAACGTCTGCTGCAAACCGCCAAACTTATCCATCTCACATCTCAAGAAAAGATTCTGGACGCCGAAAGTGCATGTGCACCAATGTGGGAACCTTTCGTTTATCGCGCAGTGCGAGACATGCTTCCTTTTTCCACACGAAGTAGGCGCGAGAGCAAAGAGCAATTGCACTTCCATGAGCACCGATCGCTCTCATACAAGATGTTCTGTCGGTCTCTTGTACACTGCCCCCCCTCCACTCCCCCCACCCTCAGGTACCCCAACAGGATGCTGCTGATTGAGCTGCTCAAGACGGTGGAGAAGCTCTGGCGGGAGAGCAACCATGGAAAGGAGGATTGTTCATGGAAAGGGGGGCATGGTTGGTCTCGTCTGGGGTGGAGGGGGGATACAGCTCGGACGGAGTCCAGACGTGCCATATGTTCATGCTGCAGGCGGAGAGCCCCACAGACTTGGCCGTGCTCCTGTTGCACCGCGTGGTGAGTGCCCCGTTGTAGAGAAACACATTTTTCGTATTCATCACAAGTGCTCGTACTTGGCAGTACAGCAGTGTATCCCCCACTCTTGAAACAACGAAAGTCGAATACATTCAACAGATGACGAGCAGGCTTTGATTAACGAAGGGGTCCACATTTTGCGTTGGTATAGATCAAATGTGTCATGCCCAAGCAGAGTAGCTGTATGAACTTGCGGTCTTTGTTGCAAAACGACTAGGCGAAGGGGACAACATGGCCACTTGCGAGGTGTCTGCATGCTGCGATGTTCACGCATTCCCTACCTTCAAACTATCGTAGGGCACCACCAAGCCAACGCGAAAGTACTCACGGCTGACTGTTGGTTTGTCCACCAGTAATTGGGCGGGACAAGCACGAACCGAAATCCGCTTGTGTAAAGGTCTGTTTCACGCCTTGTGTTTCTTGTTGTCCTTGCGCATAAGATAAACGAAGTACTTGTTGTTGGCCATGTTTTTCGATTAATGTACAACCGAGTAGCATTGAAACGGTTTAACTCCAACTAAACCCTGCTTTCGGGGGTGGGGTTGGGTACTATCGCCAGTGTGTCCCGGGATACTTTGTTGTTTTTTGTCGTCACCTTTAAAACCATCCCGGTCTTCGCGCAGTACCGTATAATGTCCGGACTAGTACAACGACGCGGACACCTCCCGTGGTCACAAGCCAATTATACCCCTAAAGGGTAAAAGTACACCTTTCTAGAACGAAACGAAAGTATAAATTGGGCTAGGAAAATAATCTCCAAATGCGGAAGCAGGGTAGCACATACGCCATTTCGAAACATCCTACCACCTATGTCTACAACAGGCGCGTGCATCAATATCCCAAACACGCACCCCCTTGTTTTTTCGCACAGAGCGGTTGTACCTTTCAGCTTGCACCTTTTTTTTCATCCACTCTTTCGTGTCAAGCTATGCCACGTGCCAAAAGTTCGCGTTTTCCACATAAGCCACCGCTGCCCTCCAAATGCCCCGATGTGATCTATGTGGTCACGAGACCGTGTACATGCACGTGGAGCATGGTCTCTGTGAGAATTTTGGTACATATTAAAGACATATAGGGTTTCCAGGAAATGATGATTCTCTGTGTTGTAATCACTACTCCAATCGATTGAATTGTTTGCCCCACTCGCGCTTGGAGGCCCGGAGTGCGCATGTGTTGTGCCCAAGCTAGAGAGAAAAAAAAAAATAGAACATCACCAACGCGCTACTTCTAATACAACTCACAGCATGCACGAAGAAAACATTACCATCAATCAAGCAGGCCGTAGGATAGGATGTAGACATATTCTCTTTTCGCCCCCAACTCCACTGCTCGCACCGGTATTTGTTGCGGAAACATTGGTCGTGCGCACGGCCACACCCTGTGTCGCTTTCTTAATCTGAAATGTAGTGTTGTTGGAAATAAAAAAAAATCAAGTCGGAATCAAAGTCTGCATGCGTGACACTCATGTAGAATTCTCAAAAGGAGGCATGGAATTGTGTCACCTCTTCGGAAAAGTTGGAGATTTTTCCTTGTGTTGTCACGCATATTCTCCCGTTGGACACTTCTAGGCAAATACACGAACGACGTCCACCACCTCGGGGTTGTCTACACAACACGTGTGTGACCTTTATCTCGAAAGGCTTCCACATGCAATGAATGGGCACGGGGGGTAGAACAAATTGAAGACCACAACCGAGATGGCAGTCCGTGTTAGGTCTTTTGAGGGCGTATCCCTCTCAGATTCGATTGTGAAGTGTCTGTTAGAATACCTCGGGCGAAAACACGACAGTAGAAGCCAAGAAACTTCGTCAACTTCCCACGCTCTACCTTCACCCATGCTTTCGTGTCCACCGTGTCCCCCATCGTTAATGCAGCACATGCCTATCCTCATCACCGACATCATGTGTCGTGTAGGACCGATCGCCCACGGCCTCTGCCAGACGGCGACGCCGAACAAATGAAGTCTTCCCCGGGTTTGCGAGCCTGACGAGCATGGCATGCGGACGGTGCACATCCCAGCACTAGCGCCTCTGGGAAATTACTTTCTTGGCGCCGATAATGTTTCGAAGCCTGTACCGCAGGAAAGGTGCACTCGAAGCAATGTGTACAATCTCTTGCGCGATGCGAAACCTTCTCCTGCGGTTCAACGGTTGGACTTCGGTCAGCTTCTTAGCGTTTCATCATTGCAGGAATTAGAAGAAGGGGACACCGCCGTGGCCTTCGTGCTGCTTGCTCGGGCCCGTTTGCGGAACCTGTGCCGACAAAGCCACCACTCCATGGACCTCTTTGAGGTAGTGGCTGCTCTGAACGTGCGCCTCACCAAGCTCGTGACTTTCATCAGAAAAGGACAAGACAAGGAGCTCCCGCCAACAGCACTTGTCGAGGAAGAGCAGGTGGGCGTGGGCTCGGTGCTGCAGACCTCGTCGGCGCAGAGCGTGTTCTCCACACGCGTTCTCGCGGTGGCGACTGGGTCAACCACCGGCAAGGCTCCGGAACTTCCTGCCTTCTCTCGTCATCTTTGCAAACCTGAGGTTGGGCAGAATGACCTTCGATCTGCGGCGCTCGACGACCTGGTTTTGATCTACGCCCGGGTAAGTACGTCTCCTTTGCGTAGCTTACGTAGTGGGCTGTTGTGCTTTGTTTTTTTCCAGCCTTCTCGGTATTCGTGCGTGTTCGTTGCTCCGTTGCTCAATTGGATTTGTTTTCGCGTGCTTTTATCGCTTTGTGTACGGCGTTCCTCGTTGGTCATTGTTCTCCCTCCTTTGTTTTGTTCTTCCTCCTTACGTTTGATCCGTCTTCCTTCTCTGCGTAGCCGGTTGATTTTATTTATGCTAACGGCGACGCCTACCTTGTTTCGTGTAATGTTATTGTTCAATCCGAAGCGCAAATGGGTAGATCACTGCTGACATTTTGGCATATTACTCACGTGTTGCTGTGATTTGAAGGGGAACAAGAACACGTTTCTCGCATGCTGGTAACGACATCCGCATGCTCTGTGCCAACCGCTAAAACTACTACACCTCTTCCATTCAACGCATGCACTTCGTTGCATATTAAATGGCAGCAGTGCTCGATTTTTTGAGTTGATGGCACTCAACAAGACTACCCAGCATTGTTGTATTATATCTGATAACAAGTTTCCGTCTAAATGCATTGAAGCATGCTCATTGCGGTAGCCTAAATAACTATTTCGAGTTCTTCGACCACACGGTTTGTTTTCCGTCCCCTTCCACGGGACCCCTGACATCTTAATCAAGCCAAAGAGGCGTTCATCGCGAGTGGACTTCAACCCGCCAACGAGCGCGCAAGGAAGCGGGCAGGTACGAGCGAGTGGGCACTTGCTTGCGGTAGGTGTTACGGCTAGTCATGTTGTTGGTCCGATCACCTATTGGTAAGGACCTACCTTCTACTGGGTACATTTTGCCATATTCTGTCAAGGTTGGTGCCGGTATTGTACATGTACATGTCGTTCGTTACCTCCAGGCCCCCAAAAATGATAAGTCCTTTGTCAAAACGTATTCATGAGCCAACACATGGCATGCCGTCTTTTTGTATGTGATCTCTGTTCCTCCTCACAGAACGGCTGTGCGCTCAAGATCATGCTTCGGGTCGGCGTTGCAGCGTACGAAAGCCCTTCAGATTCAGGTGGCTCACCATCAACCGGGGNAAGTCCTTTGTCAAAACGTATTCATGAGCCAACACATGGCATGCCGTCTTTTTGTATGTGATCTCTGTTCCTCCTCACAGAACGGCTGTGCGCTCAAGATCATGCTTCGGGTCGGCGTTGCAGCGTACGAAAGCCCTTCAGATTCAGGTGGCTCACCATCAACCGGGGAAAAGCGCTGACATCAATGGCATCGTGGAAGAGTATGGCCTTTCGTTCGGCATCCAACCGCTGGAGGAGGACCCCACGACGACGGTGCGCAGAACACACGCCTTGGGAAGCAACGCCGGGCCTTACTACGGGCCAGACACCCTGCACGACTGCAACCATGGGGATGACTGCCGCCAAAAGTACGGTGGGATAGACACATGCGCCCAGCTGTCGGGGTTCAACCTCAACGCGCACGAGCAAAACCATGCGAAGAAGAAAAAGTTTCTACACATGCTGAATGTCATGAAATTGTAAATTTTACCACTTTGCGTTCATGGTAACTCTGATCAACGAGGCCGAGAATGAGGCAATAAACCGCCGGTCGGTAGCAAACATGGTCAAGCGTGTTCGAGGCCATGGCTTGGAAAAAGTACAGATTTGCCGGGCTGAGGTTTTGGTTCTGCGGCAGATGATGCTTCTGCGAGAACTCTCTAATGCGATCATTCGACCAGTTCGGCCGGGGTCCGGCTGACCTTTATTCAATCATGGCCATATTTTTTGGGGGGCTCGGATGTTGTTGTACTATGTCTCAGATGCTGTGGTACGGTGTTCGCTTGAGCTGACCCGCTTGCGCCATTCCGTCGTTTCGCTCTGTTAACAGTGGTGGGTAGAGTTCGTGTCTTCTTCCCCGCCCTTTTTCGGTTGATGGGGTATCGTTGGCTGTGTAGGAGTAGATTATTTAGTTGCACAGTTGGGGGAAGTGGGGGGTTAGATGCACTGATTTTCCTTTTGAGGGATCCACAGATTGATTTCGCTCAACATAGGGATGCTTTAAGAACTCTTTTCAGCCTTCCACAGCACTTCCAGTACTATCGACTGCTCACTGTTTTTTTTTGTTTTTCCATAAGCAGCACGATGTATCTTTGCGTCTCCAAGGACAGCCAGACTTGTTCCTAGATGTGAAAGTAACGCTTTGTCGAAAACACTTTCTTGATCCTGAATCGAAAACAAGGTTGGTTGGCAGACCTACCATTGCCTTCTGCCCATGGCGTCGCATCCAGACGAGGGTAGAATTATTTTGTTTTCTGTCCACGAAAGTTGTCTGGTACCCACTAGCCGACTTGGCAATATCTTGAGGTTGCCTTTTGGCATGTAATACCATTTCGTCCTGGACTTGTTGGTCCAATAACCAGCTCGTGCATTTAGTAATTGCTACGGTTTGGGCATGCGATGGGGTCTAATCAAGTGAAACACGCATGTGCCTACCACTGGACAGAATGTGCCCCACATAAATGCTACCCCACCTATGTTACTACAAGGTGACCTTTCACTACATTGAAGGTCGTGTTGCCCTAACCACGATGTCACTTGCATGCTTTTCGCTGTTTTCTTCCTCGCAGTCTTGTCTTTCCGTTCACCCCTTCTAACCCAAAGTTGAAGAACGGGCTATTGGCCAGACTATCTCGGCTGCCTCTCTCCTCTGCCTCCTCTGTCTCCTCTCTCCTCCTGCAACTCCCCCTTCAGTCAACTTGAAGTAGAGGTAGCGAAAACACGGTTTGATTACGTGACACAACTCGCTCACACCTGGAAATATCTCATCAACTACAACCTTGCACAAAAGCTCTCGGGTTTTCTCGGTAGTTCGATATGGGAAGCTGTTGAATAAAGTGTCTACCATTGGCAACCTATATGTCGGGCAGCAGATCATCTGCGATGTGCGCCTGTAAATGTAAGCAGTGGCCTACACCTGATAGACTATACCGTAGGTGACACAAGATACCATACCCTCTGGACCGATTTTCAAAGCTCGATTAATCCACGACGAAAAGGATGCGTGCATGAAATGACTGTTTCAGAAGGTTATCGATGAGACGACTTCAACGCCGCCGTTTCCGGCGCTGCCACTCTTCTGCNATAGACTATACCGTAGGTGACACAAGATACCATACCCTCTGGACCGATTTTCAAAGCTCGATTAATCCACGACGAAAAGGATGCGTGCATGAAATGACTGTTTCAGAAGGTTATCGATGAGACGACTTCAACGCCGCCGTTTCCGGCGCTGCCACTCTTCTGCTGTGTAAATATCGAGCTTGGAAAAGCGGTCCAAGGGGTATGATATCTTGTGTCACCTACGGTACCTACATGAGCGTAGCTTAGGTCTTAACCTGAGCCGGAGATGGGTAGGTTTTCGATGCGTTAAAGGATGACATTTTGGGGCAAACGCTCTTCTTCAGATGTCTTATTTCTTTGTTGTTTCCTGTGGTTGGACGTCGGAAAAATATCAAGGTACGGCAGATGGAAGCACCAAGCGGATACGCTGTAGATCTGGATGCTGATGCGGCCGTTGAGTGACAATCGTTTTTTTTCTTGTTTGTCAACACAGCCAGTGGTTCCCGTCATTTCGAATCTGTGCAAAGTAGGCCTACACCTATATGCACCTAGATGCAGCTAGATATTCCACGCTCTTCGTACAGGAGCAGTACACGCGAGCACGCCTTACCCAACGGCAGGCAGCCCGGTAGCGCGCACATACAATTTGTTCAGAGCACGAGCAGGACGCGCTCTTTGTATTGATTGCTTCCGGTATTCTTCTCCTCCCCTGCACACCATGAGTATCCTGTGCGCGCAGAAACATACTCCACATAACACACGAACAGACGGGCTCTGCAAGTCTGCACAGCTCTGGCTTAGTCCGCAAGCAAGGTACCTCCAAACCGTCAAGGAAGAACTCCGGCGTGCGCGCGCCGAGAGCACGGCATGCTTTCCGAACCCTTCGGAAACCCTAGTCTACCCCCGAACCCCCTAACACAGGCGTTGCTGGGGGCCCCGTATGGCTGCTTTCTTCGTTTTTTCCGACCAAAAAACTCCCCATCTGCGCGCCCCCAAAACACGCTTAGCCATAGGGTTTGACAGAAACCTTGCAATAGCTCCCGCTGTAGTGCTGATCCGAATTTTTACCAGGGTGTTTTCGGCACCTAACACCCCAATAAGCACACCCTCCGAGTATCGTGCGATTCGAGCAACTCTACGAGGTAGTAACTTTGGCGTGAAGCTCCGTGCGGGGGTGTGGTATCTTCCGTTGTCGGGTGCACCGCTCCATCTTGGTCCGCTGGAGAGAACGTCCTGAACGCCGTCCGTGGGCCAGAAGCTGGA